AGGGGACCAAGTGCAGCGGCTTAGCAGATCGGTAGCATCTACGCTAGCCAACAAGCACTGCACGATTGTCCAGGACTATGTCAAGGACGTAGTCTGCACCTTCTCCTATGGAGAACGGGAAGTGAGACATAAAATCTCATTCCTTGTTAGTGACGAACTGCCATTTGACATGCTGTTGGGTATGTACTACCTCAGGATAGAAAGGTGTTCATACACGAGCTGCTAACTGGTAGGACCGTTAAACTGCAAAAGTTAAAAGCTAGCAGTCTTGTGGAAAACTACAGTTGCATGTGTGCCTCCTCTTCCTATAACAGTTATAAGAAAAATCGCGAGGAGGGCATGTATCTAGTCTTTGTCTCTGAAAAAGGGCAGGCCGTTAAATCACCCCCAGAGATAGAATCAGTCGTCGCTCAGTATTCCAACCTTTTTGGAGCCCACAACTGTGGTGGAAAGGGAGGTGGTCCATGCAATACCGGTTGTCCCAGGTAGCAAGGTGCCTAGAGGACGAATCCATAGGATGTCTCATGCGGAGTTGGATGAGCTCCGCCGCCAGCTCAAAGGGCCCACAGAGAAGGGATGGATTTGGTTTAGTACCTCCCCTTACGCTACGCCAATCTTATGTGTTCCTAAGAAGGGAGGTACACTAAGGATGCACATTGACTATAGGAGCCTCAATGCCATCACCACAAAGAACGTTGAGCCCCTACCCCGCATCGACGACCTACTGGATAGAGTGCAGGGATGTCGGTACTTCACAAAGATAGATCTGAAGTCCGGATACCATCAAATAGCTATTAGGCCTGAGGACCAGCACAAAACCGCTTTTCAGACCAGGTACGGTCTGTACGAATTTGTGGTGATGCCTTTTGGCCTATGCAATGCCCCGGGAACATTCCAACACGCAATGAATCGGATTTTTCATGATTCCTTGGACAAGTTTATCGTCGTGTACCTCGACGATATTCTTATCTTTAGTAGGACTGTAGAGGAGCACGCTGAGCACTTGAAAATAGTGCTAGGTCTCCTAAGACAACACGGGTACAAGGTAAACTTGGAGAAATGCAAGTTCAGTCGCACAAAGATCTTGTACTTGGGTCATGAAATCTCTGCAGATGGGTTGAGGCCGGACGATGCCAAAGTGGCCAGCATACGAGACTGGCCCAGACCTCAGACTGTTACTGAGGTCGGTCATTTTTGGGGATGACGGGCTATTATCGTCCGTTTGTTAAGAACTATAGTACTATAGCTTTCCCACTAACTGATCAAACACGACTTGACACCCCTTGGGAGTGGACCGAAGAGTATGAAACAAGCTTCAAAAAATTGAAGTATGCTTTGACACACTACGAAGTCCTCAAACTTCCAGACCCTGACCAGCCATTTGTAGTGACCACAGACACCAACCAATATGGCATAGGCGCGGTCCTTGCGCAAAGGGAAGAGAAAAAGTTGAGGCCAATCGATTACATGAGCAAAAAGATGCCATCCCAAAAGCTAGCAAAGTCCGCTTATGAGCGTGAGCTTTATGCCCTCTACAAAGCGCTGGTCCACTGGCGACACTATCTCCTAGGCAGATTCTTCTACTTAAGGTCTGACCATGAGACTTTGCGCTGGATTAAGACCCAGCCTGTACTCTCTGACGCACTCAAACGGTGGATTCAAGTGATAGACATGTATGACTATCAACTTGATCCAATCAAGGGAGAGTACAACAAAGTGGCTGATGCACTATCGCGAAGGGCAGATTATCTAGGCGCGCTAGTAACTGAGTTTGGCATATCTGACGATGTAACTCGATCCTTGGTGGAAGCCTCAGCAAGATCCAGTTCTGTCTGAGATCATTCGTACTTCCCACCAATAGATGGAGCCTCTCCCCAGGTGCTAGTGGTGTCTGCTCTTATCAGCACCACTAACACTGGTGGGGGCGTGTTAAAAAAAAAAAAAAAAAAAAAAAAAATTCAAGCAAAGGACAAGGTAACCTCCGATGAATTTACAATGGTAGATGGCTTGTTGTTTCTTGAGAAGGTAGGGAATCAAAGACTATGTGTTCCGGATAGAGTCTTTACGTAGTTTATTTTTAGGGGAATGTCATGATGCAACTGGTCCTTTTGACTATAAAAAGACATCAGCTAACCTAGTGCAGAGATTCTGGGGGCCCACTATGATGCAAGATGCAAAAAGGTACGTTGAAACCTGCCAGGTTTGCTAATGGGACAAACCTAGGACTCGGGCTCCACTAGGACTAATCAAGCCCTTGCCGATTCCTGAAGGTCCTAGTCAAAGTGTGTCCATGGACTTCATGGATACTCTTGTGACCAGCAGGAATGGAAAGAGACACATCGTTGTTATAGTTGACCGCTTCTCCAAGTATGCCAGACTCGTAGCTATGCCAAAGACCGCTAAAACTGACTACGTCATCAGATTGTTTATGAAAAACTGGGCACGGGACTTTGGTTTACCTAAGTCCATCGTCAATGATAGGGATGTTCGCTTTACTAGCGAACTGTGGCATAACACTGCCCAACAAATGGGTACCAGACTGCAAATGACATCAAGGAATCACCCTGAGTCAAATGGACAGGCGGAACAAATGAACCGAGTAGTGAAACACCTGCTTAGGCACTACATCAAGCCAAGCCAGGATGACTGGGACGAGAAATTACCTCTTGTTGCCAGCCTGTACAGCAACGCTGTACACAGCGCTACTGGCACGACTCCCAACCAATTGCATCTTGGTTGGAAGGCCCGTTCTGCCCTTGATTTCCTACTGCCTGAGAACCAGGCAACTGCAACACCTCGCAGCATAGAATTTGCTGCCAAATATGAGCAGATGCTGCAGCAGGCCGTTGAACACATTAAGGAATCTCAAGATGCTATGATTGCATCTGAGAACAAACACAGACGACTTCTAACTTTCATGTAGGGGACAGGATCTGGGTAAAGTCATATGAACTGGGATGTGGAAATGGGAATCTCTAGAAAACTAATGCCACAGTATTTCGGTCCCTGGGAGATCCTAGGCATAGTCGGGGATCAGATGGACGGACCTTCCTATGTGATACACATCCCACCTCACCTCCGTACACATCCAGTTTTTCACGCCTCGAAGCTGGCACCTTTTCGCAGAGACTGCACAGTTTCCCTCCAGACGATCAATGCTGCCCCCAACCATGGATGGTGAAGTCGACATCGACGGAATTGTGGAGCATCGAATCATGCCAGTACCTAAACCGCCAAGCAGAGGCCGCCCTCCTAAACCGAGAATGCAATACCATGTCAGATTCAGACATCATGTGGATCCCAGCGAAGATCGGTGGTTCACCACAGAAGAACTAATGCGAACAACACCTCAAGTTATTGGAGGCTACGAAAGAGAACTCAAGCCTCAAGGGGAAGATGCCTGCATAATAGAAGACTTCTCAGAGGACTGTCGAAGTGCAGGAGGAGAGAATGTGAGGATCTGCATCCTCGGCAGGCCTAAGGGGCCCTGTTACAGAAGTGCCCACCCTAGGTGAAGGCGGGCCTAACAAATCGTGAGAGGCCCTCTGATGTCAATTTCGTATTTGGGGTCCAGGCAGTTGTGACGCGCCAGTTGGTTGAGGGAAACACAGGCCGAGCAGCAAAGATATTTCACGGCCTACCAGGCCTTTCCGGAAATGCAGGCCCCGGGCAAGAATTGCAGCCTCATACACACAATTGGGATGCCCAACCGAACGAGGCCCAGCAGCTGCAACCGAGGCACAGCCTCCTGGGGCCTACCGGAAGCTTCTGGGCAGAGGCCCAGGCCAGTCAGGCCGTCGGGGCAGGCAGGCATTTGCATGCTAGAGGCAGCACTGCTGGAGCAGATGCTCGTGGGCTGCTGCTGGCGCTGAGAGGCAAGGTGCAAGCACGGGCGGTCGTGTGTGAGTGAGGGCGCTGCTGAGGGCAGCGCCATAGCCCAACCTCCATAGCTGGCTGGGGCTTGGACTACAGTGAGGCGCAGAGGTGGTCTTCGGGTGTACAAAGGGAAAACGTGGGTGTAAGTCACGGGAGAGAGAGAAGGATGATTATGATGATGATGATGTGAGGGCACATACCTTGTATTGGCGATGGTCTGCATTGAGCGACATCTTCAAGTACTTTGTGGGCTACTAACGTCAACAGTTGCATTGTCAATTAGTAGGCAGATTGTAGCTGTGTAGGAAGTAGGCTGGGTGCCAAGCGCCAAGTAGGGAGAAGGTCCTGGACTCTTGTGTTGGTGGTGGTGAGAGCAAACTCTCGTTGACATTGGTTTTCAGTGTTACGATTCTCCATTGATGTCATATTGGTGCAATGCTGCTTTCTGGACACTGTGATACTTTCTGGCTTTCAATGTGATTGTGCATTCTGGATATTGTCATCTCGCTACTGCTTATTTTCCTACCATTTCTCTTATTGCAGCTTTTGTTTACCTGTTTTCACAGTATGACCGCCGGGATTCCAACCCCCGTCCTTCAGAAAACAACAACAAAAACAAAAAAAACAAAAACACTAAAAAAAAAAAAACACAAAACAGAAGAAAACAGAAACGAAAGAAGAAAGAAGAAGAGAAAACGGGCAAGCACATCGCACGAACAACCACAAATCACGCGGCAAATCTTTACATCGAACGCTCCATAACCAAAAGCCACATCACACGCCTACCAAACCACATGCACATCGCACGCTCCAAAATCGCCCATCCAGAACTTGCTAACGTGGCAGACTCTCAGACCACGGGAATACTGACGCCCCCCAACGCTGGCCGTGCGATGTAGGTAGAGAAGCACAACGACAATCCCTCTCTGTTTTAGCTCACAGCTCAGCAAATCTCTATGCTTGCAGTTCCTCATTTTTCCCCTCTCTCTGTGAGCTCATATCCCACAAGATCTCTATGCTTGCCAGGCAACAAGGGATCGTGCAATGTGGCAGAAAGAGTTAAGAAGCCGGTAAGAGGAATGCAGGTAAGAACAGGTTCAGGGTTTTGCAAGCAAACCTTGGACTCCGAGCTAAGGAAATCACAAACAGCATGGCTCTCAGCAATGCTAGGGATCGCCAGTAGGTCCTGTATTGCATATCATATCCAGAAATGCACAGGAATACCGAACAGAGGTGTGTTAGCACAGAATATCAAGCCAGGAAAACCCATACAAGCAATGCAGATGTACATCATGTTTCAACAAACTGAATTTACACTGCTGTGCAAGTGACTAATGCATCTCAAGGTTTTGAGAGGAAGCCTGCCGACAACGCTGATCATAATGGAGTGAAAAGCGGCCTCAGCTTCTATAGCAGTCGTCCAGACCCCACCTTAAAGACGATCTAGCACCTACAAACACCACAGACTTCCTCTGCTTGGTAAAGATTCAAGCTTGCCCTTTTTCATTTTTTGTGCTGTCTGAAACTTCGATCTTGTCAATCAAACGCTATAAAACAGTTGTTCAAGTGAGCCACAGGGTAACAAATCCATACCAAGATGGCTGCACGTCTGAAGCTCCCTATAAGATTTAAGTCCGCACGGATAGATTTCATCCACTCCGCACACACATGGCTGAAAGTCTGAAGTGCCCTATAAGACTTACATAAGCAAATACATGCATGGTAGGAAAATGATCAATACCAAAATGACAGAGTTCCAGATTGCAAAATCAAATTGAGAGCCAGATTCTTGAAAGTTGTCCAGAAAGCAGAAAAGCACTGATGTTAGCAGCGAACTCAATTGTCAATGAAAGCATAGACTTGCCACCACCTACAATGTAATTGAAGCTCTTCCTCCTACCGGCGCTCAGCGCCCAGACTACGATGACACAGCTACACTACTCGCTTACAAAATGACAAAGCAACCAGTTGCCGTCAGCAGAAGTAACCAAAGTACATGCAGATGTCAACCATGCAGACCTCCGCCTAAACCAGGTACGTGCCCTCACATCATCTCCCTCACTCGCCCTATCCTGCTCACCCTCATCTTCTCCTCCCACAGCTCTCCACCAACCGAAGACCATCGTCGAACCCCGCTGACCCTCGTCCAAGTCCAAGCCCGGCTATGGCGCTGCCTTCTTGCAGTGCCCTGCTTCTCCCGATGCCTGCGCGCGCCCAGGCTCTCAGCGCAGTAGCACGCGAGCAATCCTTCCAGCAGTGCTGCGGCATGCATTTGCAAGTGCCCTAATGAATGAATGGCAGGCGGGCACTTTCCTATATGGAAAGTGTTTGCCTGTACTAGCTGCCTGGGCCTGGCGACCGTGCGCCCAGTAGTTTCAAGTCAGACCAAAGTGTCTGCGCCCAGGCCCATTCAGACAGTGCCCTGGGACTGAATTGGTTAGGTGTGCCCAACCACCCAGGCGCAAATGTGGGGTGCTCCCTGCTTCTCCTGCGTGGCTCGAGGAGCCTAGAAGGCTCACGAAAATTTCGGATACTCACGAGCAGGGCAGGTGTAACCATCTGGCGCGTGGCAACTGTCTGGCGCCCACCAAAGCTATGCAAATTTGACTAATTCAGGCCTCATTGAGTTTCAAGGGTCCACCTTCACTTAGGGCAGGCACAAGCTTGCTCACGGGGGCCATATGCAGGTATGACGAGGGTTAAAATCCTCGCACTCCTTCCTCCTCTACTCCGAGAGTCTTGTGAGAAGTCTTCAGTCAGCAGGCTCAGCCAGGCTGCTTCCCATTTGATCTTCTCTCATATCCTCAGATAACCTGCGGAGCAGTCTTCATTAGTTCTTCTCTTGTGAACCACCGGTCTTCTTTGGGGATCAATATGATGTCTCAACCGCACTCTGTACTACACCTGTGGTTTCGGAGGGCGTCCCTGGCCTGGAGGCTTAGGTACAGCATAAGCTTGTGCTCAATGATATCGTCCATGTCCAAGTGTCCATCCATGGTTGGTGGCAGCAGAGATTTCCTCAATGGAAATCTGTCAGTCTCAGCAAAAGGAGCCAGTTTGGAGGCGTGAAAAACAGGGTGAGTATAAAGGTGTTCAAGGATTCGGATACCATAAGACGGTCCGTCCGGTGCCTGTTCTCAGATGCTACCATAGCATCCTGAGTGTTTCCAAAGTGTTTCTAATAACATAAGAGGGTCCATCCACTTGGAATGGCGATGGCCGTCTGAGCCTGTTCTCAGATGCTACCATAGCATCCTGAGCGTTTCTAATCTGTTCGACAGCCTGCTGCAGCATCCGGTCATACTTGACAGTGAGTTCAATGCTCTGCCAGGTGGTGCTGTGGGCTGGTTCTCAGGCAGAGAAAATCAAGAGCAGATCTGGGCTTCCAACCAAGATGCAGCTGGTTGGGAGTCATGCCAGTAGTGCTGTGTACATCGTTGTTGTACAGGCTGGCGATGAGAGGTAACTTCTCATCCCAGCCATCATGGATTGGCTTAATATAGTGCTGAAGTAGGTGCTGCACAACTCGGTTCATCTGCTCGGCTTGGCCATTTGACTCAGGGTGATTCCCTGATGTCATCTGCAATTGGGTTCCCATCTGCTGGGCCATACTTTGCCACAGTTCGCTAGTGAACCTGACATCCCTGTCACTGACAACGGACTTTGGAAGAGCGAAGTCAAGCACCCAATTATCCATAAACAATATCATTACATGGTCAGGCTTACTGGTCTCGGGCATGGCAATCAGTCTAGTGTACTTACTAAATATGTCCACGCTGACAAAGATGGGCCCTTTACCACTTTTGCTGGTCAAGAGAGTGACCATGAAGTCCATGGAGACACTCTGACCAAGGCCAGCAAGAATAGGCAAGGGCTTGATACACCCAAGTGTATCCTCGGTTTTTCGCGCCGACAAACTTGGCAAGTCTCAGCATACATTTTTGCATCATCCATCATTGTGGGCCACCAGAAACGTTGCACTAAGTTCCCTGCTGTCTTTTTGTACCCAAAATGACCAGTTGCGTCGTGACTGCAATCAGACTCGCTTTCACTTCCACTTCACATACATGCAAACAGATGGAGATTCACACTGGTGCAGGGCGCCCACTCAAAGCTTAGAGATATG